GCGCTCGCCACCAGACTGGAAACACGGAGGAAGAAGACGTCTTCAGTGCTGCATGAACAGACCGACGTTACTTTGGTTTGATGCAAACAGAAACAGATTCATAGAAACTGACCTCAGAGAAACACAAAATGACCACGAAGAGATTCACAACAACAAAAGAGACAAAACAAGTTCTCAAAGAGAGACAACAGGAAGACACAAAACCACCGCTAAGAGACACCAAACAACAACAGCAAGACACAAAACTACACTCGAACTACTGCAAAGAGACACAAAATGTCTACAAAAAGACACAAAATCACAAAAAGATGCAGGACGCCTACAAAGAGACACAAAACAACTACAAAGAGGCTGCTCTGTATTAGACGTGATGGGGCCCATTGTCTCATAATCCACCCGTGATTAGCTGCTACTAGCATACCACACCTGAATCTCCAGTTTAATTGTCAAGTTGCATTGTGGGTAATGTAGGCGGCAGCTTTCAACGAGTAAAAATGAATGATGCGAGGAATAAAATGTTCTCTCTGGTTCTGCTGCATCTATATTGAGCCTTTTATAAAAACGCATGATATACGAGTCGTCACCTGAGTCCATCTTTGCTCTCTTGACTTTGATGAACTTTTCAGGAGGAAATCAGACGACATCGTCTGCAAATCTATGATGATTCTAATCTGACACGTTCGTCTCTTGGACCTAAACTGCGTGGGCGGACAAACCAAACCAAACGCTTCCTTCCTCCAGCTGTGTGATCTGATTCATTAACTGACTAACGAGCTAAAAATGTCTCTGATGACCCAGCCAGCGTCTGACGGACAGTGACAGGCAGGAGGTGGAGGAGTCAAGTCAAAAATCTGGCATGGCCGACTCTGCTTTAGATTTAACAGCTTACGATGTTGTGAGTCATCGCTGACCTCCAGTCAATCGGCTCCCTTTATTGTCTCGTTTCCCGTCAGTCCAATTAGCCCGCACACTGGAAAAGAGGAAGTAGGCCATCAGGTAGGCCGTGTGGCGGGGATACGGCGCTCTGATCCAGGAGCCTCTAATCCGATGGAGAGGGGGGGTGAGAGTGGTGGCAGAAGAGGATTATGGGATTAGATGCGACATGAGATGGCCACTCTGCAGCAGAGAGGGCGCCGGTTCAAATCCACCACAGTGGCGCCAAAAAAAAAACCAGTCAGTTGATGTGTTTCTGTGAAAGCTTAACTTCTACATGTACTGCGGTTGTCTGTCTGTATTTTCCACCATTTTTGTAGTTTTATCTTGTGACATTACAGCAAAACGTAGTAAATCAAGTCATCAGTGTTTCCTCCATGTTTTAAAATACAATTTTCTGTGATTTCACCATGAATTTGTATAAAAATTGCTGAAATGCAGATTGCAGTCACGTATATAGTTTTTTGGGTGTTTTGTTGTGCCGCAAAATGGGACTACAATCTGCATTTTGTTGTGTAACGACAATGAAAAGATAAGCTTGTAAAATGACACGTTAATGACCACAAGGCTGATGCATCTTCTCTCTTAACTCTGGTTCAACTCTGTGGAAAAACTAAATCTCTTTAGGATAAAGTTTGTCAATCTCCTGGTGTCAGTCAAGATTCATGTTATAGATAATGTGCATTGAAATGAGACATGTCGAAACATGCCGGAGTACTGAATCCAAAGGGAAAAGCCTCAGCTGAGCGTTTTTCTTGGTTTGGTAAAAACAGATTTGAGAGGACGAATGTTTTTCTGCAGACCGCCGACCTTGCAACTTGATTGCCGCCATAACTCAGGGCGCCAACGCTCACAGGGGCCCCGACCCGCCAGAAAAACACTTTCCCCCCTCGTATAATCCAGGTTTTATGGTCTGACGCCGCCGTGTGATCAACCAAAATGAGCCAGATGGGATTGGACAGATTGAGGATCTGTCCAGATTACGCTGTGATCGTCCGCCAGGCGAGCGGACGCAACGCCAGGAAGTGATCCAGCGGAGGGAAACGCCAAGAGACAGACGGGGTGTTTTTCCATCAGCAGCAGACTGTTGGGAGATGTTTGTTCCACCATCTTTGTAGTTTTTATTTCCTGCAGCAGTGGTTTAATTTTGCAACTGTTTTTACACTGTATCAGTACTTTTACTGAAGTACAGCATCTGAATACTTCCTTCATGAGAGTCTTAAAGGAATCAATGCAACCCATCGATGAGAGAAGATTGAACAGATTTGACCCTGATGGCTCCAAGACTGCACCCTAGGGGTAGAAACACATAACTACAACAACAAAACAGATATTTCTTTCTCCTATTTAACTATAAAAATTGCTTTTCTGAGTCTTATGGTGCCTTAAATTAATTTAATGTATTTTGAATTGCTCTTTGGAGATAATTGAATCAGTCAGAAGTCATTTTAAAGACTTAATAAACCTGTAAATTATCAAAAAGAGGTGCAATAAAAGCCCTTAACTACCCCTCCATAAGAAACATTTTTAAAGATGTGACTTTTTGATCAAGTTTTAGAGAAAAAGGTGTTTTGCTTCACTGTGAGATTATTGATTATCGATATGTTTAAAGACATTAACGAGGATATAGATCTGAGATGAGGTTGCATGATGAACTGTTGCCCTCTCGTGGTGGATTATGAGACTCACTCTTTTCCTAGTTTCCTCATCCTCGATTCCTTTTCCTCGCCTCCTCTCGTTGCATCCAGAAGAATAGGTTGGATATCAAAGGGTCAGAGGTCAGAGTAGGTTGACGGTAAATGCAGCAACTTCTTTGATTGTAAAAACAGAGTAACACAAAAATAACAACAAATGTAATTAAAAATACTTGAGAGAAATAAAAAAGGCCCCAAATCTAATGCTGCCAGTTGATGACTCAGCGGCCTGGCAAAACCTTTCACACGTTGCCACCGCGACGGCTCAGCTCAGGGGCCCCGGGGCCCCCGGCTGAGAGGAGGCCTCGGCCATTTGAGGACGCCGTCTCCCAGGAGACAAAGAGAAGCTGGAAGAGACACAAAAGAGCAGACGAAAGAAAGTCCGACTACTGTTTTTAATACAGTCGTGTTTTCTTTCATTTTGAATATATGTCATGACATTAAAGTCAAATCAATCACTTCAAAGCTGTGAAATATTAGCAGCAAAAATAAATCTAAAAATCTATTTATTTATTTAATTATTTTTAGTTATATTTTTTATTTATTCATATATTTATTATTATTTTAATTTTATTTTTTATTCATCCGTATTGTTAATAATAATATTTTATTTATATATTTTTAAATTATTTACAAACCCTCATCTTCCACATATCTTAACGGGTATTCTGCCAGATAAAGAAAACATACATTTGTTTACGTACTTACTGTCAAAGTTAATACACAATTACTAAAAAAATCTGCTGTATAATTCGTATTATTTGCATAGTAAACATAAAAAAACATTAAATTAAGACATCATTTCTATTTTTTTTTCTTTCCTCCATGCAGAAAAAAAGTCAAAATTAGGAGTTAAAATATAGATTTTCTGTAATATTTTGTATATACTAGATACAACAGTGAAATACTGACTCTAGCTAAATTTGTATAGTCATCATTTTGAGATAGTAAGTTAAAAATATGTGAAAATAAGTCAAAAAGATGACTTATTATACAAACATAATGAGGTGTCACTCCTGCCCTGTGTTGAGCAGACAAACAGAAGTCAGGCCGGCAGATGAAAGAAGAGAGAGAAACGATGGATGTTTCCTCCTCACAGAGTTTCAGTGTTTGAAGCGAACAATGAGACGGTTGTAGTCGTCCACGTGAGGAGTGTGTTTATCACCGAGACAAAGAGTCAGTTTATCGAGTAAGAAACGGGAAAAGGGGTCATCTGTTGAACGCAGCACATTGTGGAGATCTTTCATATCAATTTACACAATATATGTAATAATCTACATATTTCAGCAGCTGTAAGTCTCATGTTTCAGTCTGAACCAGCAGAACTTCATGTAATAATCACCTGTGTCGTTTCTATATACTTTTTGTGAGGAGTTATGAGAGGACCCTGTGCATTGTGGGAATACTTGTTCTCTAAAGCTGATGTACAGCATGTTAGGAGTAGAAACCTGGCATCGGGACGTCTCCTCTTCGGCCCATTTTGCCGGAGCAGATGCGTGTTTGTGTGAGCTCTCTTCCGGCTGCAGAGGGCACACGTCTGGCCAACTCCACCGGTGAAAAGATGGTCTTCATTAACATGCACGGCCAGCCGCTTCCTCTGAAACGGGCCGTTGTGTCCCAGCAGCGACACAACGCGGCGCAGCAGATCCGGATCAGATAGGCGGTGTATGATGAGCGGACAGAGATACAGACGGAGCTGTCTGCATCCTACAAGTGCTTGGCAAGGTTTTCTAAATACATCTCAGCTGGAGAAGAACCTCTAGTTCCTCCTGTAATTCATAGAAAGTAACTGTAAATCATCTGAAGGTGGAGAAGTGTCCGTAGCACTGATTTATCACAAGATGTTAGAAGTTTATTTACAAATCAATGACTCTTCTTAAACCCAGCACAACTTCCTTGTAATTTAAACTAAAGTACATATATTTTCCTGTAAAATACAGCTTAATTTATGATGTTTTCTCAGAAGAATAACAAAGCAACAAGTAATTAAAGCTCTCAAATTAAATGAAGTAAAAAGTGTAATATTTCTCTCTGAATTGCGGTAAAAAAAATACAAATATTCATCCAGGTTTTTGTCTGTAAAAGCATAAAAAGGTTTTTCAGTGGAACTATTTTCTCTTGAAAGTCACTCAAAATGTCTTTTATGAGTATTTAACACGTCATTAAAGCTGCATTAACACAATAATGTTCATTTAGAGTCCTTATTTGTGTGATTTATGCAGATTTGAATCCACATATCAAACCAAATAGTTACTTATTACATTAGTCAGGTGATCGGTGCTGGTTAGCAGAGCTGCGGTGGAGTGAGGGGAGGTGGACACTCGGGATTGGTCGGTGGTTTGGATGACCTCAGCTCTGCTCCCTCCACCCTGCTGCACTATAAAGTCCGCTGTGCATCCTCATCCTCCATCAGCTTCTGCCTGAACTCCCTCTGAGGTAAGATCGTCTTTCTTTTAAACGCAGAAAAGACTCAAAATAACCTGCAGTCCCTGAATCCAACGATGTAAATAGTCTAAAGTCTGTTTCGGTATAGTGTAAATAATGTAACTAATAGAAATCACCATGAAACTTCCCCAGTTGATTACTGACATTAAGAAAAGAGTTTTTTGTGTTACAAGTTTTCTGAAATGCCATGTTGAAATATGCAAAATAGGCAATATATTATCAAATATGTGCTAATTTTCATACATTTCTAGAACATAAATCAGAACATTGGATAAAGCCAGGTTCAAAATCATTGTTTTATTTTGTTGACATGTTAGAGTGAAAGGTTTTTACTGAGGAGATTTATGATATCTGTTTGCATCGCTCCATAAATCAGGAAATACTGTCAACAGCCATAAAAAAAGCAATTTCCGTCATGATTGTATGAATAAAATGTTGTATAAATGAGGCTCTGAATGATGTGTGAACAAACCGCTCTGTGTTAACCTTCAGAACGTAGAGAGGAATGAAAGTGTAAAGTTTGGTGTATGTAAGAGCTGCTGCAGTGGAGATTTATGGATCAGCGTCTGAGAACAAACTCATTTTAAAGATGTGTTTTGTTAAATTACATACATTTTGGTGAATAGGGTAAAAAAAAAGAACTCAGCATGAAACTTCACCAGTTGATTACTGACATTGAGACAAATCTTTTTTGTATTGCAAGTTTTCTGGAATGTTATGTTTAAATATGCAAATTAGGCATAATCGGAAGGATGCAAATAGACAAAGTAGTAAAATAAAAACCTAAATGTGTATTTTGGATGTTTTCTTTCCACCAGTTTGACGTGTTATAGAAGCAAAATATCCAAAAGTTACTTTGTAACAATGCTTTGTCTTATTATCATTCAAGAAAGTACATCATGTGAGACTGGTTTATGTTAATTTATATTTTATTTTATCATTTGAAGTTTGCATACTTAAATGTAAAAAAGAACGCTTGTGTTTCTCATGTATTGTTTCTGATGATGAGGTGAAAGGAAGAAGAAGAAGATGACCGACCTGGAGACCTCGATGGCGACCATCATCGCCGTGTTTCAGAAGTATTCAGAGAGAGAAGGAGACAAACACAAACTGAAGAAGAGCGAGCTGAAGGATCTGCTTCACGACGAGCTGCCGGATCTGATGGAGGTGAGACAGAAAGAGAGAAACATTCAAATCCTTTATATCTAATATGCAAAACATAATAATAATGGAAAAAATACTTCACTGCAAGTACTGCAGTGTCAAGGAACGAAGGAAAAACACATTTACTTGTGTACTCACTACAGCTTTGAGGTACTTTCTACTCATTCAAAACATCAGCTTAGTGGTGGAAGAAGTACTCAGATATTTTACTGATGTAAAAGTAGCAAATGTAGTTGAAAGTATGACAATATACTCAAAGTACCAAAAGTATAAGTACTCATTAATATGTATTTATTGGGATTATTTAAGCATTAATGTGTTCATCGCGTTAATGTTGCAGCTGGTAAAGGTGGAGCTATTTTTGATTACTTCATGTAATCATGTGTTACTTCATGTGTTTGTTTTTTAATCTGTTTTTTGTCTTTTCTGCAAAATCTTTGTTGATTTTGCACTTTTTGTTTTTAAGTCTGTATCGGGTGGTTTTTATGTACATTTTTAATGTTGTTTCTGTTTTTTTGTGGGAGTGTCCTGGACAAAAAAAGGTTAAATAAGAATAGAAATTAATGTTTGATGATTTATAACTCGATTAAGTATTTTGTATATTTAACCTGAATCAATTCAACGTTTTTCTCGCTATAATAAAGTTTTAAATACTGTCCTGAGTGGTGCAACTGTCCCGCTGTGATGTGTCCGTCCGTCCTCCTGCAGCATGTGAAGGACCAGGCCGCCCTCGACAGCCTGATGGAGAGCCTGGACGCAGACGGCGACGCCGAGTGCGACTTCCAGGAGTTCATGACATTCGTGTCTTTGGTTACCGTCTGTTGCCACGACTTCTTCGAGCACGAGGACGAGTGAAGGAGGAGGCCAGACAAAAGAGGGGAGCTACAGTAAATTATAAAGAAGAAGAAGAAGCCTAGCAACAAGCAGCCCAAACAGTACTTTGGCTGGTGGCTGGCAAACAGGCCAGACTAGTAGTTCAAATGTTCTTTTCTATCCGAGTCTAAATGTCTAGATGCTACTAAAGTCTTCACAACGGCTTTGGGATTTATTTGTTGTGTGGCTCCGAAGTTTGGTACAAAACTAGCCTTGATTTCTAATCACTTTAACAACATTGTTTGTGCTGCAAATGTTTTTGTACTTTTTAAATTCAGCAGGACACATTCTATGAATCAAACTGAAACATTTGAAAAGTGTTCGCTAGATTTTGGGTGTGGTCACCAATCAATAAGGTTCTTCTGTTGAAAAGGGCCAGTAAAGCTGGAAAGATGACAACTGGAAAATTAGGATTATTATCGAGGGAAACATATTTTCTCCTGGATTACGGTCACGTTTTTAAACGTTAACGTTGTAAAATTGAAACAAAACTATTTGGTTTTGTTCTTAAAACAAATCAAGATTTGGCTTTATATAAGTGTGATTGTTGCTTTATTTGAGTTAAACATTTATTTAAATAAGTCAACTATTCACTTTTTGTTTCAAAAGGTGCCACGAGAATTGATCCATCCATCCACGCCGATCTTCTCTCGACGCAGAATATTATTAACGTATTTGTGATACGTCAAAAAACTAACGTAATCAACGAGAAAATACGTTTCGTAACGTAATTTTTAGGAGACCAGGCCAAATAAGCATTTAGAGATGGCGGCCGTTATATTTCAGATGTGGCCAGTAGATTCATCCGATCGTCCTTCTCCTTTAAAGGTCAGTAACTTAAGGAATCACCTTCATCAGCTTCAGTTGGAGAGTCAAACTACTGAGAGAAGCTGCGTTTAAAAAACTTTCATGACTATCAAACAACGTGTCGTTGGCTAGTAGAAGTTTAAAAATGGCTCGTGAGTTTTATCTAATCGAGAAGTCACTTTTCAGAGAAGATAAAAGCACCTAGTTGACTATCAAACACTGTAAGTGACGTGTAACTTAGTCTTCAAGTTAAAAACCTGTAACGGCTACTAAAATGTTGAAATGGCTTCTTCACGCTCGCTAGAAAACCAACTATGATTTGGAGATGAATTGTAAAGTTCTTGTTTAGAAGCTCTTTTTGGAGATATTGAAGTAGAAAAGTAAGCAACACTTATTTGAGTCATAACACATTGAAAATGTCGAGCTGGCTGCTAAAATAATCAGAAAGTCTTCAGATTTAGTGGCCAGCTGTCGGATTCAAGCCGCTAGAATAAAGAATGTAGTTTCACGCTCTTCTCGTCAAGCAAAGAAAACAAACTAAACGTTTATCAAAAGAGTTGGAACAGAGTTCTTCTGATGTGACTTTTGAAATGAAGATGAATTAAATTATCAACGTGTGACTCTTGAGTTGTTTTTGTGGGACAGAAAATCAAATCAAACAAACTGACACATAAATACCTTTTTTTGTTTGTTTGTTTTTCTCCTAAAATGTGCAAACATGTCATTTTCTTTAAATTTATTAAATGCAAAATATTCATAAAGGTTGTGCAGTTGTTGAGTATTGTTGTGAGGGACTTAAAGATCCTGATTTCTCATAAAGACTCATAAGCCCACAAACTGAACGTTTAGAGACTAAACTTCAGGGATTAAATATGCTTCTTTTGTTTGTTTTTTGATGTTGGCCTCCAGACCTCCAGGAGGAATAAAAACAGCCACATATTAAAACAACATCTATCACACTCTTCTCTGGTTGTTTTGAGGCATTCTGGGAAATGTAGGAAACCACAAACTCCTACAAACAAACAAGCTAAAAACAGGAGAGAAGATGTGCATGAAGGTGAGATTATTGAAACACAGGATGATGTAATGTCAGCTGCACAGTTTCAGACATCTGCAGGCTGTGTAGCATCAGAGGGGCAGAGTCAGCCTCGTGATTGGCTGGAGGGGGAACAGATCTCGACCCTTGGGACCGACACCACACCCATCTGTGTGTGTGTGTGTGTGCGTGTGTGTGTGTGTGCGTGTGTTGTTCAGCATATGCTCTGTTGTGTTTCTTCTTCCTCTTCTTCTTCTCAGAACTGGTGAGTTTCTTGTTTGTTTTTACCTTTTAAATCAGTTTGAAGTCTTGTGTTGTTTTAACTTGTGACTGTTTTAACTTCTGCTGCAGTCTTATAAAATAAAGAAAAGCTGGATGAGACCAGAGAGGAAAGAAGGGACGTCTGGTTAGAAGAGAATAAAATGAGCTTCATGCTTTGCAGCTCAGAGATAAACACTGAGTCGTTTCCCTCGACTTCATAGTTCAGTATGTGAAAAACTTGCGTATTAAAGTTTTGCATCATTAAAACGTGACTTAAACGCTCCACCGGGAAGTTGAATGAACACAAGCCATCAATGTTTATGCATATTTTTGCCACATTAATCTTTGCAACAGCCAGTTTCTTTCTGTTAGCTCATTTCTATGAGAAAGCATCTTAGTAACCTTCTCATAACTGCAGACACTTTATTACTTTTAACAGTTATGAGAAAGTTACATGATTTGCATGTGTTGATCCATCATTTAGAAGAGGATGGTGCAAAAGAATGCGTCCTCCTTAACGTTTATGAATATTTGATGAATATAAATGATGTTTTTCTGCTCAGGTTGACATCATCATGGACCTGACTCCCGCCCCTGCACAGCCAGAAACCGAGCGTCCTCCTCCTCCTCCTCTGGATCCTGTGACCGAGATAGTGACGACGACCACGTATACAAGTACATCAACGCAATGATAAAATACTTGTTTGTCCTCTTATCATGAAACGATTTCATTTAATTTAACTGTTCGAGGTTCCAAATCATCTCATATTTCACAAACAAAAAGACAAAGATTGTGTTTCTCTCCCGTTAATCATCTCGGCCCCTCGGGTTTATCTGGTGACCCTTTGGAGGGGCCCGACCCCCAGGTTGGGAACCATAACAGTGCATAGTTAAAACTAGAAGAAGTACTAGAACGCTCTGTCTTATTCAGTAAAAGTATAAAGTATTAGCAGTAAAATGTACTTAAAGTACCTATTGGTCCCTTTCAGAAAGTTATATTATTATGTATTACATATATTCATATTATTACTGATGCTTTTCAAAATTAACGACAAATAAATATATAGAAGTTTAAAGAAATACTACACATTGACGCTTCATTAATATAGTGTCAGTATACTGTTCATATGCTGATAATACTTCTACTTGTAACGTAGTATTTTTACAATGTGGATGTTGTCATCCAGACGATCACAGTTTGAGTTAAACGGGATCAAGTTGGAATCAATGACAGTGAGTCTGTGTGTGTGTGCGTGCGAGTGTGTGTGCGTGTGTGCGTGCGTGTGTGTGTGTGTGCGTGTGTGTGTGTGTGTGCGTGCGTGCTAGCAGGGAGTGTCTTATCAGGCCGATGTCAGGAGAAGAGCATGTGAAGGAGTGTGTGCGACGCCTCCGGTGTCTGTCACCACAGAGATAAGAGCTGACACACTGATACCGGCTGGCCCTTGTTTCCACTGAGGGCCACTGAGGGCCACGGGGGGGCCACAGGGGGCCACCGAGGGGCCAACCAGCTGGGTTCAAAAACCCACTAATGTTTACTTTATTTAATGCTACTTACCTCCACATCTCAGAGGGAAATATTGAACTTTTATCTGACACTTTCTGTTACTTTTTACATGATATACTTGTACGATAAAATGCAGTACTTTACTACAAATACTAGTAGTTTCAACTAACCCGTCTGCATCAACACCAGACGGTCAGATAGTCTTTGACTCAGCAGTTTCGGATAGTTTAACTGTTAGTGGTGAAGAGAGTTCCGGCAGCCAATCAGTGAGTCATGTTGAGCTACGAGGAATGTCTTCCCCCTGAAACACATCAACACTTCTGAGAGCGAGTGAGACTTTCACCCAGGAAACCTCCCTTCATGTCCCGTGTGAACCCAAGTCAACCTCGGCTTATTTTAAGTTGCTTAACTTAACGTCGCTCTACGTCACAGTTACAGATCGCTCCTGTTGCTGGATATTTGTAGGAGAACGAAACATCAGAATATAATTAAACTGTGAAGTTTATATTAATATCTGCTGTTTTCACTGCATCACTAAGAAAACGTCAAAACAAAAACACCTAAAAGCAACACTGTAGTCGTATTTATGACTTTCTTGGCAAATCCTTTGAACGTTTAGAGTTGCAGATGTGTTTTTGGAGTTTGTTATCTCAAAGATCATCAGCCTGAGCAGGTGTAGAGGCAGTTTTCTTGCTATTAGATGTAAATAGAGACGTTGTTCTCTGACAGTTTGTGTGCAGAGCTCACTCTGTGTTTGGCCCTGAAGTGCCTCTGTCGCCTGTCTCTGCACACCCGGAGGCTTTAAAATAGACCGAGGGTGTTTGAACACCACGCATGGGTGGATTCTGCTGCCATGTGAGCTTCATAAGGGGAGTGATGGCTCAGTGCTGGAAATCTGAGTTAAAGATCTGAAGGTTTAATGCACGGAAAGAGGCTCGATTTCACCCTGAAAATATAAAAAGCATCCCCTCTATGAAGATGCTTCACAGCATAAGAGGTTTAAAGTGTTTAATAAAACATTTTCACAATAAAAGTCTTATTTAAAGTTGAATTTGTGTTTTTCAGACATCAACACCGACGATGGAGCTTTTGCAGCTTTGATTGGAGGTGACAGCTGAACTTTTTCCACCTCATTACATTACATGAACGCATCATATATTTGTAAAGGGTTTGAGTTTCACCCTGAAGAAAGCTGACATTTCGTTATTCATCTTTTCGTGACCTCCTTCTCTTCTAAAGGGCTCGTCGGCTCCGCGCTGCTGCTGCTGATCTGCATCATCGTGGTGTTGCTGTGGGATTTCTACCGACGTAAAGGCTCGTACGTCACCAACGAGATGGACGGCGACGACGACGATGACGACGAGTGTGATGCGGCGCTCCAAAGCAGGAAGTCTCTGACGACCAAAGAGGATTAAAGACAAGAAAGCCTTTAAAATAAGACTTTAGTTGCGATGTCGAGGATCATAAAGAGCTGTTTTACACCGAGGAGGTTTTTTTAAAAGTAGCCAATTCTATAAAGCTGCATGAAGCAACTTTGTACATTTCTGGCCCCAAAAGTCTGCAAGACGAACTTCACTTCTCGAACATCTTAGTTTGAGATTATCCGATAATAATGGTGAATGCACGTTGCAGCAGTTACATCGTGAGGCTCAGATTCACGTCTTTTAAAGGGATTTTTCTTTCTGAAACCGGTTTCTAATGTTGATTGATCACTTTCGTTCTTGCTAATGAGACTATTTGTCGGTAGAAATAACTTTTAGGCTTAAAAAGAAAACATGCACCACTGCATTTTGAATCAAAAGCAGAATTAACTGCCCAGACGAATCTTTTTACAGCCGGTCAACATTTAGTCTGCTGCTTTTCTTTCTTCATTTTTCAACCTGAACTCAACCCAAGTTGATGCTTTTTATAGATTGTTGTTGTACTATCAGAGTATTTTTTTCAGTTTTCTAATAAATAACCAAAAAATAAAGATAAAACAGAAAGTCCAAAACGTCAATAATTAATTGTTTTTTACAGCTATAAATTGAATTGAACTGTTTTGAATCTTTGTTTATTAAAATCTTTTCTTTTACTTGTTCATAAGAATGAAGTTCAAGTATTTATTGTGGTGTGATTTTTATCATGAGGAAGTTAAACTCCACCTAGTGGTCAAGAAGCAGTACTGCACTTATTAGAAAACGTTATATTTTTTATGCGTTTGAGGAGTTTAATTTGGGGAAACAAAGACATTTAACATTCCAACATACAAACACACACTTAATAATACAAGTTAGTTGATTTTATACAATAAAAAAATAAAAAAATAAATACCTGGACACAGGAGGAAGTATTCAGTTATTAATCACATCAATTATTATTATTATTATTATTATAAAATGTCAGTAAAATGTAGTGAAAGTATTAAAACTGTGTCTGTTCTACTATTGTATACATTATTATTATTCATGCAAAAGCAGGATTTTAACTAATGATTATCTTCATGTTGAAAGAATCTGCTGATTATTTCCACATGAATAGATTGTTTGTAAAAAAGTTCTTAAAGCTGTCAGAAGAAATGAAAGTGCGCCAGACTTGGATATTAAAGGATGGATGATTTCTGTATGTGTGTGTGTGTGTGTGTGTGTGTGTGTGTGTGTGGTCCTGATGCTGTCACGCTCTCGGCCCCTCGACGCCGGATCGCTCCTCTGGGCCTCCGGTGACGGTTTGAATTTTTAGCTTTCAGAAAACCTGAGAGCAAGAAAACTACAACACCGCTCCAGTGTGGAAACATGTCTGTAATACCAGCAGCGGCCTGCGGGTGGTGCTGTTGGACCGAAACGTGGCTTCACAGCAAACTGTCAGATTCCTGATCAATAACAATCAATAGGAGGTATTTTTAATACATGTATGTGTCATCATAAACTCATAAACTTCCCTGAATCAATAACAATAAATTCATCTCCTTCTGTAAACTAAAATAAATAGATTTTCAATCAAATAAAAAACTAAAAACAATCTCGATAGTATAATAATACATTTGTTTTGGTTGTTTTATACTCAACAGGAATCCAAATATTTATGTATATGAATTACAAAATATCAGTTCCAAAAGTACATGTAGTGGAGTATACGTAAGAGGAAATACAAGTACCTTGAATTAGTACTTGAGTAAAAGTACTAATTCCAGCTGCTGAAGTGCAGATGTTTGGTTTACCTAAAACTCACAGCTGACTCATGTGGTGGTTGATTAACTCTTAGTTTCATGCAGCTGCGTGTCTCGTTTTTTGGGAGTCGAGCAGGTGAGAACATAAAACCAGAACAAGTTCAAAGGGAAGGTTTGGACCTCGTCAGGTTTTTCCCTCCTCTTCATCTCGGCCGTTATACGTCCATTAAAGCCCAAACCGCCTGGGAGCCGAGGGGCCCGGAGCTCCGCCAAGGTGGGAAATTTCATCTGTGACTCACATCCTCGCTTGGTTGTCAAATCAATTTGAGCTACCAGCGCTGCGGCGGCCAAGGAAAGAATGAGCCCAAATTATGGTGAGGGGAGAAATCAAAGATGTAAAATACACTGTGAATTTCCCCCGAGAGCCGGAGCTGGAGCTTTTTGGCAGAGTCCAGTTCCCCACCCGGCAGATCCCACAAGATCATTACTGCAATATGAAAATATATCCATTTGAAATGTGATTTATTTAACCTGGTATTGAGTCTAAAAGGACAACTCGAGCTTGGCTGTAGCGTCTGCTCATTTCCTGCAGCCTCCTCTTGTTTTCCATCACTTTTGTGCACTTTAATTTTTTGTAGAAATGTTCCCTCGTTCTCTAAAGCGTAAATGAAAATCTTAGTTTTACAGTCATAATTATAACTTAGATGTTAACGTAGATGCTGTTTATTTAAAGCTACCACGAGGAACTTTAAAGTGTTGATTTTGGCGGCGCCTGTGGACGAAAGTGGTAGTGTTTCCCATTAGAGTCCCATTAGAAAAATGTTACTTTCAGCAGGATTACAGAACAACTACAAGCCAGATTTTTATGCAACTTGGTGGAAGAATGCAACATGGGTCAAGGAAGAACTCACTGAATTTTGGAGTGGATCCGAATTTTGGCCTTGGTCTGCCCTCATTGTGAAACAGTTGTTCTTGTGAAATAGAGAGTGTATATTTTTCATCTCTACTGCTTTTCAACAAGGCAGGAAACCGGGCTCATCGGTTGCCCATGTTACAGTTCTCATCCACTGGGTTTCCCAACCACCAAGATGTAAACGTCGGCTTTCTATTCAGTAAAACCCGACACAATTGTAACCTGAGCAGAGTCCTTATCAGCCACAAGCGAAAACACCTGTGTGGGTTTGAGAAGCAATTAAGGCAGAAATAGAGGAAAATGTAGATGTTTAAAGACCTCAAACTAATCACGCACATCAGAGACGAAATGTGGACAAATTTCACCAGCCTTGACTTCTGATGTCCTTCCTGGAAAGTCGAGGAAATTATTTGAAATACAGAGAAAAAGATTTATTTTGAAGGGGTGACTGAGTTCATGGGAATCCGCCATCACATCGCTCATAAGTGTGTGTGTGTGTGTGTGCGTCCGAAACACACACACACTTTACACAGTCATTCGCCACAACTCATGTCAGTGTGTGTGTGTGGTGTGTGTGTGTGTGTGTGTAGGGAAGTGGTAACGCTAATCAACCCCAGATGAGCAAAGAGGCCAGACGAGTCGAATCACTGTGTGGGTGTGTGTGTGTGTGTGTGTGTGTGTGTGTGTGTATGTGTGTGTGTGTGTGTAGCAGTAATAACAGTCTGGGGCTGGCGGGGTCCGACTTGAGGGCCGGTTACCCAAAATCTCGTGGCCGACACACACACACACACAAACGGTGAAGTCACCGTCTGTGGGGACAAAGATGGCCGAAGCGGCACCTTCGCGTGCGAATGAAGCTCACCGAGTGTGTGTGTGCGTACATTTACTCAAGTACAGCTTTTTCAAGGTACTTGTACTCCACCTGAGTATTTGCCATCCATGCTACGTCTACTCCACCATCTCAGAGGGAAGTATTGTACTTTTTACTACATTTATTAGCAACATATAGTTACTTTTTGCATAATGTACTTGTATGATATGATGAAGTACTTTACTACCCAGTATGTCAATAAGTACATTTTTTTCTAATGTACTTGTACTTTACTTGCTACATGACATGACTTATAGTTACTTTTTACATACAAAATCTTTTATCATTATGTGTAGTTCATGGCACAAATCTATCGCGATCAAAACAATATTTGTTGACTACTGTCCATATTTTTTAGGAAGTATTTCCACCTCTGAATTATATAAACCAACAGGAATGATGACAATAAGCACCAAAATACTGTGTTTTTCCTGTTGGATGTAGTCAGAGTAACAGGAGATCATTACTCATATTTGTTAGCCACCACACCAACGTAAAACCTGATGTGGCTGAAGGTCCAAGTGGAGTTTTTGGTTATTTTTATATTAGATTAAAAGTGTGTTCCTTTTCTCTCCAAACGCTTTCATTCCATCGCGTACCAAAAAACACCAGTGTTGGTTTTCATGTTGGCCCGCGAGTGAGTCATCAAAAAACAACACATTTCCCAGAATGCTCGGTTAGTCACATAGCAGGATGATGGATTTGAAAGCTCTGCCAAACAAATACGTGAAAACAAATCTGTGCTTTCAACCCCTATTTATCCAACAATGTCTCAACAATGATTCACTTTCTGACCAGCGATGATTCACTTTCTGACCATCTTAGTTCTACGTTGTACTCGACTGTATTTCTTTAATAGATTTAATCTGATTTGAAAGCAGCCTTTCTTGTGTTCAGTCAGCTTCTTGTTGTGATCAGATTGATTGATTTAGCTGATTGTATCACCTGAGTGAGCGCTGGTTTTTTGTGTTGTTTGCTTAACAAAGACTGAAGTCCTGAGAGCGATACGTTTCATAATCCAGCGTGCGGATCCTTTGTTTTCCTTTTGTTTCTGCCCAGTTTGTGACCTTTTCTCTCTGGCGTTGAGGCAAAGCTCTAGACTTACTCCCACGCAACGCCCAGCTCTGATCTATTGATGGGCAGTGAAGTGTGTGGGATGTTTGATATCCCAGGAATGAAGTGGGAGAAGAGGATCCATCATATTCCTCATAAATTTACCTTCTTCTTCTTTCTTCTTTTTTGCTGGCTGAGGAACAGAAGCTCTCAGGCGTCCGTGTGTGAAGGAACCGAGCGGAGATAAACCTCTGCTTGTTTGATGCTTTAAGTTCATTTCTCAAAGAGGTTTGTTGTTGTAGTCTGTGTCGTTCGTCCTCTCAGTTTTGTTTTCCGTCTCTGTTTTTTCACACATGCACATCCAACACAAGTAAAATAAATATCAGTGACGTGTACTTACACACACACTCATCTTCAGATTCCTCCAGTGTAACAAATGAACTTTAATCGTCTCCGGAGCAGCTGAGGATCGTAGGAGGAAGCTTTGTTTACCTTTCCTCCTGATTTGTGATCTCTCTGCACGTTGACAGGACGGTCAGAAAAACGCTCCCACTTCAAACAGCTCCGATCATTTCTCTTCTGAATCGCTTTGACCTCGTGGTGTAAAGTCAGGCCGACTGATGTCGCGGCTCAAGAGAGAGAGACGGAGAACTAATGAGGAGTTTCATTCCACCAGTTGACAAATGCAACACCTGCTTCTATCAAAGAAGAAGGTATTCTTTAAAGAAAAGTATTCAACACACCAGTTAATGTAAAGGTAACATTGTCCATCTGTGAATAATCCCGTATAACTTCTTGAGTGCATGTGGATTTACTGGACAGGTGGTAACAACGTAACGTAACAACGTAACAACGTAACAACGTAATGTAACAACGTAACGTAACAACGTAATGTAACAACGTAACGTAACAACGTAACGTAACAACGTAACGTAACAACGTAACGTAACAACGTAATGTAACAACGTAACAACGTAACAACGTAACAACGTAACAACGTAACGTAACAACGTAACGTAACAACGTAACGTAACAACGTAATGTAACAACGTAACGTAACAACGTAATGTAACAACGTAATGTAACAACGTAACAACGTAACAACGTAACGTAACAACGTAACGTAACAACGTAACGTAACAACGTAACAACGTAACGTAACAACGTAACGTAACAACGTAACGTAACAACGTAACAATGTAACAACGTAACAACGTAACGTAACAACGTAAYGTAACAACGTAACATAACAACGTAACAACGTAACGTAACAACGTAACGTAACAACGTAACGTAACAACGTAACATTTTTAAACACATGGTAGAAGCATCTTTTAAAATAAAGCCTCAGTAAATAAACTATAAAGGCACAATAAAAACAAGCCACAAACTGCCGGAAGATACAGACAAATCGTTACTTGAGATTCAGCCATCAAAAACGCTCTCGGATTCAACGATACTGTGCCTCTATTCAACATTTTACTTTGACAACACGTGGTGCCAAATTGAGGTCCAATGGTCTCATAAAGTCCCCACAAACTAAACGTTCTCACGGCATCATTTAAGAGGACTTTGCATTGGGCGTTTGGCATCTTAACTGTGGCCTCCATTTCTGATGGAGGCTTTATTTAAAGGGTCAGTTTTGGTCTCAGATAGGTTCCATGTAGAAACAGCCAATCATCTGAATTCCAGTGATGAAAAGCACTTGACACAAACCAACATCTGCCACCGATTTGCCAGAACACGCCTGTCCCGGATGCGACTATTAACCAGAGCTGCAGCCTGCCGTGTCTCCTCCGGCTGCGTTCACCACTAACCAGGGCTGAAGGATGAGCCGCAGGTCCGAGTCCTTCCAGACCTGGAGGACCTGGCAGTGGAAAGTAGCATGACTGCAGCAGGCCTGTCATTTTGAGTGGCTGCAACCTTTAATCATATCTTGAGCTACATCCTTTATCCCCTCTAATTTGAGACCTGGTGCGTCTGAATGGTTCGATCTGATCTCCGTCCCGTGTTTGGTGCCGTTTCATATTGTGGAGACGAGGACGGAAATATTTCTTGCCAACCGTCTGTGAAACCAAAAAACTGTGGCGTTTTTTTTACGAGCACAGATCTGAGAGATCCTGCAGCAAACATCTGACAAACACTCATCAGAACCACGAGGTCAACACTATTGTCTAAAATATCATCATTTAAGAGCCAAAAGCACACTAACGTAGGTGGACTCCCTTCATGGAAGGTTTTACAGTAATGCTTTATTTTATTCTGTCATTTCTTGGAAAAAGGGCCATAACTTTGTAATTTGGTGCTAATTACGTGCAGAATGAATTAATCACAGCTGAACACGCAGGAATGAGAAGTGTGTCTGTCTTTTGGGGAAATGTTGAACCAGGGCTTCAATTTGATTAGATTTACACTCATTGCTGTGAGTTGTGATAATGCATATTACATGTATTAGGGTTATTTATGTCAAATTCAAGCGAACCAAACTATATGTCAAAAATATTAATTTTCAGGAAGGATATGATCGATAATAAAAGCATAAACTTAATGCTCTAAAGTGAATGAAGCCCTCCTCCGCTTACTGAATGATGCATGTAGATGCAAAGTCATGCATTCATGCAGCATGTAGCTAACTAATCAAGCTTAAAAACAACATGGCGGCACAGAGAGTTCACGAGTGCAGTCAGAGTTTGGGAGCGTGTTTACTGCTGTGTAAATGCCACCTCTGCATGTCGCAATAACACGCTGCAGCGGCCTGCGGCAGCACAGTGGAAAGTCGTGTTTTGGTGCTGCCAAATATATAAAGCGGTGGAGTTCAGTCGTGGCATGCTAATGATGAGGAACGACGGCGTTCTCTGTAACTGCTGCAAGTTCTGATCAGAGAAAAAAACACTGCTGACTCCAGTTTTTTCTTTTTTAATTGCCCGCTATAAATCTTTTTGTGGATGTCTCAATTAAGAGCAACAATAGCTCGGCTCCATTAGCATCTCCAGATCACAGAGTCATTAAATTGAAGCTTTGCAGGCACAAATCAACCTGTCATCCTCCTCGCAGTCGTACAGCCTAAAGAAAGCGAGAGAAGAGCTGCAGACACACAGAAAGCTGCTTTTAAAAAGCGTCTCGTGAAGAGAAGTGAGGCTGCCAGACGCTGCCGGTCTGAGCCAAGTATTGAAACAGGGTGTATTTTAAACCAAGGTTGCATTTTAATAAAGGCCAGAGGGTGGCATATCGCAGATAGCTGTTGTGTTTCGCGTTAAACACAACGTCGTGCCATGGCAACATGGAGGCCAAGACTTCCCCCACAGGGCTGCCAGCGAGCCGGGAACGGTTTGATATGCAAAGCATCCACGAAATGAGAAGTACATTTTAATTACAGGGGAAGAATAACAAGGCTTTATATAAGATGGTTTATAGAACTGCGTCAGTCTGCAGGTATAAAAACTGCTGTTTTATTTGGTCTAAACTAACTTACACACTCTTAGGCTCCAAACCTTCTGCAACTCTGAATATATCAAACAGTTTGTCTTCAACTTTCAGTTTATTCACAAAAAACAAACACGGAAAACAGTTTTGAATGTGGACTCCATCAAACTCGTTTTTTTTTTGTTGAATAGCTGCTGCTGTGTTGCACATTTTGGATAATATTTGCTAAATCCTGATGAGTTCTGATGATTCTTGAAGAAAGCTGAAGAAATCTTGCAAAGCTGATTTACTTTGGGAATGTGCACCAATAAAACACAGCATCTTGACATTGATTTGTATTTGATCCCATGGCCACATAGCAAACAAACATCCTCAAAAGTTACAGAAATATCTCTGAAATGACTTGTTATTTGAATGACCTACATCCTTAATGCATGCAGTGAATGCAGATTGTGTGACAGAACAGTTGCACACATTATCAGATGTGATTTTGATGAAACTTTGCATTTTAAAAGCTGCGCTGAAGGACTTTAAGATGACGCGACGATGTTTACAGCACAGAATCAAGGTCCACTCACATTTACAACATTGTTAAATTGCGCTGCAGCTTATGTTTACGCTTGTTTGTTTGTCTCCATCATTATACCTGCAGAAGCTTTCAATTTCTACTTTCTTTTGTGTAAAATAATGAACATGAAATGGGGTTTCTCTTCATCGTGCCACTGCAGCGCAGAGAAGCTTTGAACCTCTTGGTCTGAACTCCAAAAACAAATAAAAACCCAGCTTCTCATCATTATTTCCATCCAGAGGAATCCTGATGCGTGACGCTTCATATTTACAACTGGGAGAGCTTCATACGAGAAGTCACATGTGAAAGAATTCCAGTTTACTTTATAATGTCTTCAGATGTTTGACGACAAATATTGGGAGCGAACCAATGCAGCCGCTGACCTTTGACCTTTATTTCACCCTGAAGTTGGATTCAGTTCGTGTGCCTTTCAGTTTTGTAAATTTGGTTCTCACCAAGAACAAAAACACCATGATATATCACGCTGACATTGGCTGCATTGAATACAATGAACAATACAGGAATCCTTCAAATTCATGACGCTGTGAAAGCCGCCTCACCTCAGTCTGACAGAGCGTAGGAGCACACGGAGATCGACTGCCAAACGGCCGAAACATTGGATAAATATGTACATGCACTTTGGCTGTTTCATGGCGTAATACATGCAAACTTTTGCCAGACCAGTGTGAAGCAACACGGGGGGGAAAAGTCAACCTTCACCTGGAGAAAAACACTCAGAGTGACAGTTTGTGCAGCAGAATCATGTGTTTTTGTCCTGAAGAAACGTCCCAAATGTCCGTTTTTCAGTGAGTGTTTGTATTCGAAGGCTCAGAGAGATGAGTCCCGATTCAGGGTCAGAATCCTCAGGGTCTGGGATCATCTGGAGGACATGAGGGTCCGGGTGAACCTGTGTTCAAGTGCTAGTTTGAGGTCCTTGTCCCTTTTATGCAACTTTATAATACTACTCTACTACAATTCAGAGGCAAATATTGTTATTTTTACTCCTTCTTCTACAACTTCTTTGCAGCATCAGATTAATAATTCAAAATATAAATTAACTGATGCATTATGATGTGTTATTAGAGATTAAACTACTCAGCAGTTTGAAATGGGCCATTCTGCACAAGATGCAGAATTAATACTTGTTATTGTTACACAGGAGTATTTACTTTTACTCAAGTAAATCATCTGAATACGTCTTGCACTACAGAAAAACTGGGATTTGTTTTGCATAATAATAATAATAACAATAGAGAGCCATGCTGAATAAAAGTATTCATTAAATGAGTTGAATACATTGTAATATTTGTAAATATAGCTTTATTATAACTACATTGCAGTACATGTTTAATACAACTATTAAAACTATTATAATTATTTTAATTATTATTATTAATATTGTCATTGTCATCATCATCATCATAAAAAAAACAAATTATTGTTTTTTTTTATCGGCATAAAAAATAAAATAAAATAAAATAAAATAAAAATAATAACTAATTCTATATGCCAATCAAGTTATTTAAGTACTGTAATATAAAAGGATGACAATGAAAGAACTCCTCCTTAAGGCCTGCCCGGTGTGAACGCACTTTTCCAGTCTTTCCCGGTCTGTGATGTGAGTCTCAGTTGGCCCAAAATCAGTCCACCTTAAAAAAATATCTGCTCTCACGTTACAGTGTCACGCGGATACACCGCGGGAGCGCGCACAGCACCAGCACGAGCAGCAGCAGCCCTGTCAAATCACACAACGAGGGTGACGCGTAGGCGGAGGACTTTACGTAAAAACGCCTCCGAGGACTTTTTTTTTAACGCGTAAAAGTCACGGTGTTTGCGGTAAATCGGTGTGGAAACACTGATACGTGTGGATTATAATACAACTGTTGTGGTACTTAGCCAACGTCTCGCTGGCGTTTGCAGCAACTAAAGTATTGTTGTTAGTATTGTTTGGCTCAGTGGCGCACGAGACGCACACCAACCGAGGACTGACGTCAGGGGGATTTTACGGTCTCTTCTTTCATACTTTGTTTTATCGGTTATTGTTTTTCTGAGGGATGTAAGTTTACCGATGTGGAGCTGGTAACGTGTCCACGAATAACCGGGATAAAGCCACTTTTGTTTAGTTTCTTCTTCAGCCCTTCACTTTGCCTGCGTTCACCATGCTGGCGAACACGGCGCTTTACGCAGCGAAGAAACGGAAGAAGCCGGTCCAGAAAATGTAAGTAAACAACCATAAACTCATAGAAAAGTCACTGTAGTCACTGTAATATTCACATAATACCTCACAGTGTGTCTGTGGTACAGAATAAACTGGTGTACAATAGTTTTATTGTACTTTCTGATCGTATTTCTTCTTTAATACTCGTATTATATTCCTGAAGGCACTGAGTCACTATTGTACTGCCTATTGTAATTTTACTGCACTACTACAATACAACCATTGCTTGTGGTTCAGTTTGTTATATATTCATAGCGTTTCCATAAAAAACACACAATGCATTAATACGTTTCTGATGCTTTTATTGCAGTAACATATATATAGATATAGATATTATTCATACATCTTATATAAACCAGATATGGTATTTCTATAGGTGGTTACAGCTGTGCAAACATCCCCCGTGGAGTGAGACAGTGTGCATTATAGCCGTTGTTACATGGTAATAAGAGTAGTTATAAGTAATAGCTACTTTGTCCTGAATGAATAAAGGCAATAAAGTCTATTTTCCCTGCTGTGGTTATGCAATGCTGGCCAGCCAGACCGAGGTAGGTGCTGAAGTCCAACGAGCCTGCAGGCCTCTGCAGCATGGAAAATAAAGGAATATTTAAATCTAATTATACCATCGGAGACAGCTGGCCTTCCCAAACTCATCGTGCACATGCTCTATGAACTTGTGCGTTTGAGTCGATGTATTGACTTTATTATTAATGCAGAGTTATTGTTTGAGTGTGCTCTGTAGGCGGGGAGGAACAAAAGGAAATCATTATAATCATCGTGCCACATTCTTATGAGTTTATTTTTGACTGTATATTTAAACTGCCTCTTGTTTTCCCCTGAAATCTCCCTCGAGACCCCCCGGAGGGCCCCAAGCCACGGTTTGAGAACCACCCTACTGTAGCGCCAGAAACAATGATTCTTCAGGCTCTGATGTACGGTCGAAAAAATGCTTCTTGTGCAAAGAGGGCGCTTTTTATAACTGTTGTTTATAACAAACTGTTCTTCAGAGAAACTTATCTGTGCTGTAAAAACCTTTTTAGAGGGGTTCTTTAATGCACCGTGCTCAAATGGTGGCAACTAGACCCTTAAAGGTGCTGTAAAAACCTTTTTTAGAGTGGTTCCTTAATGCACCATGCTCAAAGTTCTTCCAAATACATTTGATGCTGCTGTTAATTATTCACAAAAGTTCTGTTTTAAAGTTCTCCGTTGCATTTTTGTGGTTTCAAACCGTAAGTAGAGCTTTAAAGAACCTTCTGCGGAAGTATTGGAAAGCACCACAGACAAAGTGTTCTCCTTAGAACCTTAACCATGGTGAAGCACCATGGTAAAGGGCTCTTCTTAGACCCTCAGAACTAATAGAGAAATAGTTTGTTATGGACCGTTAATGGTGCTGCAGAGAACCTTGAGAGAGACCCCACATGTGGTCTCAGAAAACCTTTTATAGTCCTATAAAGAACCGTCTGGAGAAATGATCTGAAGCACCATGCCAGAGGGTTCCTCTTAGACCTTCGTGGTGCTATAAAACGTTCTGTCAGTTTATCTTCGACCCTTTATGATGCTGTAAATAAATGTTTTGGAGATGTTCTCCAGGGCAGCATGCTTTAATATTTCCTTAAAGATCCACCTCAGTGCTGAACGGTTCTCCAAAGCACCGTGCAGAAATGGGGTTTCCTGGACCCTTCACGGTTCTGAAAAGAACCCTTTCAGAACATTACAGTGAGAGCTGCTCTGAGCCTCACAGTCTTCCTCACCGTAAAGTTGTGATTTTTAACTTTAACAAGCCAGACGGGGAGTGTTAACCGCCCCGTACAGAACCACAGGCCCAAGCAGAGAACCACGGCCAGAACTGTGTGTGTGTGTGTGTGTGTGTGTGTGTGTGTGTGTGTGTGTGTGGTACTACCTGCATTAATCATAATCAGGACGTGGAGCGAGAGCGCTCTCACGCTATGTTTCCACGAGGGAGGGAGGGAGGGAGGGAGGGAGGGAGGATGGTGTAATCTGAGACTCGCTGTGTTTTTCCTCCTCCTCCTCTTCCTCCTCCTCCGACTTCCACAACATACTTTTTCTCCTGTCTTTCCTTCTCTCTCTCTCT